CTCTGGCGTTCCGAGAGTGCATGATGCCCTCCTCTTCGTCCTCCGAGTGGTCCTGCGCGCACGAGGCGGAGAGAATGGAGAAAGCAATGGCAACGAGCAGAAAAGGGCAACAAGTCTCCACGACGAGGCCAGTTGCCACTGCACTTTGACTTCATCGATATACTTATTCAGTCAATTCGCGTAGGTACAACGACGCCCTCGGGAGGCTCCGTGAACGTCGTTCCAAAATCACTCGACGCGTTCATGTACACGTGTGCACCACACTGCTGGAGAAACCCATGCGTCAGATGTTCAAGTATAAGCGAGGCTGGCCAAGTGATCAAGCGTGGTTTTGACTGCAAATAAATCTGCGCATGGGTGGGCCATGACGCCAGTGATACACCCCTGGAGCACTCCCCCTTGAAGAGCCCAAATGCCATGCCTGCTACATCGCGAGGATCATGCGGCCCTGAAAAGAGATGCGTCCATCTCCCCAAACAAACGAACCGATTGGGACATCACCCGTCTCGTCTGAACGCGAACGGGCCCGTGCAACACCCTTGGTCGGCTCCCCTTGAAGTGCCCAAATGCCATGCCTATTATTTCGCGAGGGTCATGAGGCCCGGACCAGGAGACACGTCCAGCTCCCGAAACAAGCGAAGCGGTCGGGACGTCCCCAGAGTCTGGGCGCGAACGGGCCCGTGCGACGCTCTCCGTCGGCTCCCCCATCGGGGTGCTCATTCGCCGTGCCTGAGAAGAAACCTGTCCACCTCCCCCGAAAACAGCGCGAGGACCACGAAGCAGAAAAAGCCCGTCCGCCTCCCCCAAAAAAATGCCCGAGAAGAAGCCTGTCCATCCGCGCGAGGACCACGACGCCCCGAGAAGAAAAAACACGCCCGCCTCCCCCCCCAAAAAAGACGACCCGCTCGAGACATCTCCCGCAGTCCGGGGCGCGGGCGGGCACGCTCTCAGCACCCTCGGTCGGCTCCGCCGTCGAGGCCCAAAAGTGCTTCGACTGCTGCATCGCGAGGAGCATGTACGAGCGAGTCCGAGTGGTGAGTCTGCGAACGCGTGGCGAGTCGGGGTGTGATTGGGCGTGCGAATGTGGCCCCGAGCGGGTCTGAGTCCGAGTGCGAACGAGTCCGAGTGCGAGCGAGTCTGACCGTGAATGCATGCATGTGGGAGTGAGTGGTCTGTGTGGAGAAGACTGCGTGTGAGCGAGTAAGAGTGTGAGTGGTTTGTATGCGCGAGTCTGGCGAGGAAAAGAGGCGGGAGGAGTGAAGCGCAGAAGTCCTAGCTATAGCAAACACCCAATCTTTCGGACATGGGGAATCAACACATTGGGACTCCTCACACATCACGTGTACAGGACAAAGGCGACCTGCTTTTGAAGATGTGTAGTTGGCGTATTATCGGGATCCGCCACCGTGCCGTCGGCACCGAGTGGAGTGAACCCAAGTTCCCTCGAATGTGCTGTGTTGAGTTCGTGGGCACCGAGTGGAGTGAACCTAAGTTCCCTCGAGCTCGCTGTGTTGATCTGGTCTTGTGAGCACTGTTTGAGTGACCGAGCCCCGTGACGCCCTGGCACTCCTGGGTGCTCTCGCGCGCTCCCGGCGATGCCCGCGTGACTTTTCCAGAGACCTGGGGAACGTGGTCGCGCACCTCGATCGATGATCCTCAGAACGTGTGTTACAAGGGCTCCCAACTTCGCGCTGCGCGAAGCGCGAAGTGCAAATAACTTCGCGCTCTCGCGCCGCCTCTCAGAGGAGGAGGGGAGAATGAGGAGGAATCGGAGCCGAACCGCGAAGCGCGAAGCGCCAATAACTTCGCGCCCTCGAGGGCACCCTCGGTGTTAGCACCAGCGTGTGTTTGTCCACAGAGGCCCTTCAATACGACGCAGGCGGCTCAACGAGGGCCGACACGGACTGCTCGCTATCGGCGGAGCCGAACGGGGTAAACACGTTTGGGCGAACACACGTCCTGAGGATCATCGACTCAAACCCAGTGTCCGCATGATCAAATGATTACGTATATGTTGTTCGGTCTTCCAAGCGTCCAAGAGGCCCAAAGATCGCCCCAAGACGGCCCCCAAGACCCACAGGGGGCCCCCGAGACAGCCCAAAGAGGGAGAACACGAACTGGCAGTTGGAGCCCCCCATCCCCCAAGATTGGCCCAAAAACCGCTGCTGGGCCCCCGAAAAGCCCCCAGAGGCCCCAACGAGGGACCCCAGGAGGCCCTGAGAGGCCTCCGAGAAGCGCACCCGAAACGCTCAAAGGAGGCGCCCAGGAGGCCCCGAAGCCTCCCGAGTGACCCCAAGAGCCTCTGGTCAACGACCCGGGCGCGGTGGCGGGCCGGGCCGCGGGCCGCCAGATCCGCCGCCCCCTGCGGTCTTGCCACAGGGGTGCCCGGCGTGTTGAATCCTATCCTTAGGTCGGGCATGTCCCCCTGCAGGCGGATCTTGAACGAAAACTAAAAAACAGTCGAAAAGATGGTTAAAAACAGATCGTCCCGGACTACTTGTTGACTACTGTGGAATGTTCCTCCTGTAGAGGGACGTGCCCGACTTAATCCTGGCCTCTTGGTTTTTTTTAGCTCCTTCTCCTAAAGAGCTCTCCCGTGGGGCATCGGCCCGTGGCGCCGGCCCTGCGGAAGACCTGGTTGCAAAGGCTTCTCCTGCCCCGGACGGCTCTAATATGGCCTCAGTGGCCTCCGAGACGGCCAAGATGGCCCGCAAGTTCGCCCAAGATGGTCCAAGACGGTTTTTCCAAGACGGCCCGAGAGGAGTCCCAGTCAGCTCCAAGTCCGCCCAAGCAGCCTCCGAGACGGCCCAAGCTGGCCCCAGATGCGTTCAAGAGGCCTCCGAGATGTCCTCCAGCAGAACCCGAAGAGGCGAGAATCATTGCTTTGTCCCTCGGTTGTTCAGAGAGTTTCTGGCTGATGCTATTTGCCGACCTTCTGACGGCCCATACAAGTCGAGCCCCAGAATTCAATTGGCGGATTCCCAGTTACGACGATCAGCCGAGAGAAGGTAAACCCCGAGACAATTACCTTCCCTGTGGGCGCCACCATACGCTGCCCTTTATTACACAAAGCACGAAGACTCCCTTGCCCACGGCACCATGACTGTCAACGAGGGCGACGATGTCACAATACTCGGCCCAAGAGGCCCCAAAGGTCGCCCCCCGAGCGCCCAGGGGGCCTCCGAGATGGCCTCTGGGATGGCCCAAGAGGCCCCCCAGGACGGCCCCAAGCGGGCCTACAAGACGGCCCGAGAGGCCTCCAAGACGCCCACGGTGGCCCACGAGACGGCCCCGAGGTCGGCCCTGAGGCCCCCGAAGGCGGCCCCGAGACGGCCCAGAGGAGGCCCCCGAGGCGGCTTCCGACGGCGTCGGAGGGGCCAGGAACGCCCGAAGATGGCCAAAGAGGCTCCTCCTCCTCCTCCTCCTCCTCCTCCTCCTCCTCCTGATCTGCCCCCCTATCCTCCCCAACGGCTGGGGGAACACATGGCCCGATAGTTTGGCAGAGCTCTTGCCACAACGCTCAGCCACATGGGCGAGTCCAACAGGCAGGGGGCGGCGGTGATTCGCCGCAGGCGCCTTCGATCCACCGCCCCCTTTGCTGGCAAAGGGACGCTTGGCGCGTGGAGGGCTCTCACTCCTTGGCCCTTCCAAGCAATTCCCCGCGGCCTCCAGCCCGACCCGCTGGCCACCCCGAGCCATCCCAGAAAAGCGCAGAGTACCTTCATTCCAAAAATGCTCCTCTGCGCGACGACGAAGATGGTCTCAAAAAAGGCCAAGAAGGCCTCCAAGACGATCCGGAAACGCCTCCGAAACGCCCAAAGATGGCCCCAACATGTCCTGATATAGTCCAGATGGCTCCAAGACAGCCCGAGATGGCCCCAACTCGGCCCAAGAGACCCCCAAGACGGTCCAAGAGAGCTTCACGACTTCCAGGAAGGCCCGACGAGGCCAAAATGATGTGCATCTGCTGGCCACTTCGGGGCCAACAGGCTGCGTGGGCTAGGCGTTCCTGTTCCCTGACACAGTTCCTGTGAGAATGCTTCAATCATGGGTTATAGATGTTCTAGTTCCAGTGCTGTAATGCTTCAACTTCGCGCGAGGCCCCCAGCCCGAAAAGCACCCCATTACCAAGCCAGAATCGCACCCTCTGAATTTTACAGGGGCCCTGGGACACGTAAATCACTACATGCACACCCAGACAAGTTAGGCCTCACGGCTCCCTGTGGGGGGGGGGCATGGTGACTGTGCAGCTGCCGCCACTTTCGCTGCCTGCTGGGAGGTCGAGCGGAATGGTGTCCCACGCACACGCAGACTGAGCCTCGCGGCTCTCCCGAGTGGCCAGCCCGCCGCCTGCGCAGCGCTGTCGCGACGGAGCCTCGCCACACGCGGACCCAGGCGAGACCTCGCGGCTTCCTGGTGGATCGCCCGATAACAGCCCGAGGAATTGCAGAAGCGGCGGCAGCCTGAACGGTCACAGGAGGCTCATCCGCATCCTGAGCAGTAGCGCGGTCCGACGTTCCTTGGCGCAGCGTTCAAAGCTATTGCAGGTCGGTCGCCAAGGTGTATTTTTGCATGGAGCGTCTTGCCTGTAGCTGCCCCGCGTTTACAAAAGGTCAGGTACGTCCCTGGGTGGTTCTACCTTTGAGGAGTTCCTCGATCTCGACCTTTGAGGCCACCAAGAACCATCAAGAACGGATGTGGGACGAAAAACTATCCCGGGAAAGGGGTCGAGACCTCTGGGCCCCACGCATAAAAAAAAAACAAAACAAAAAAAAACATCGCAGGATTTTTCGGAGGAGGTGGCGCAAGGGTGAAGACGGGAGGATTCTGAGAAAGCAGGCAGCTTTCGAAAAGACCCCTTAGGAGGCCTCCCCGCTCGCGCCATCCCTTTCTGCGCGCCACCGAGGACGGACGACGGACGACGGACGACGGTCGACGGACGACGGTCGGACGGTCGGACGGACGACGGGCAGACGACGAACGACGGCCGACGGCCGACGACGACGACGACGACGACGACGACGACGACGAAGACGACGACGACGACGACGACGACGACGACGACGACGACGACGACGACGACGACGACGACGACGACGACGACGGCCGACGGCCGACGGCCGACGGACGACGACAACGACAACGACACAACGACGACGACAACGACACAATGACGACGACGACGACGACGAGGACGACGACGACGACGACGACGACGACGACGACGACGACGACGACGACGACGACGACGACGACGACGGACGATGGCGACGGCGGCGACGATGACGACGACGCGACAACCTCAGCGGCGGCGGCGGACGACCACGGCGCGAGGGTCCGGACATCGCCGCTGCCCCCCGCGAGGGCTGCCTGGGCCATTCCCCCCCTCTCTCCTGGCCCTGGCCGCGGGCGGGAGGAGACATCGGCCTGAAGGACAGATTATGCCCCCGCTGCTTCCTCTGGGGGCCAAAAGTCCACCCCCACAAGAATCGCCCCGACACGCGAAGTGGCTCAATCAACGCACCCACCGAAGGAATCGAACAGGGCAGGGCCGTGTAGTAAACGCCCAGTCCGTCCAGCAAACGCCAAGTATCGGCTCCAGGTCAGGACGAGGAGGAAGGAGGAACATGAAGAGGAGGAGGATGAGGAGGAAGAGGAGGAAGAGGAAGAAGATGAGGATAAGAAGGAGGAGGAGGAGGAGGAGGAGGAGGAGGAGGAGGGGGAGGAGGAGTCTTATGCATGCGCGGCCGAAAGCGTGGAAGCGGCTGGAAGGAGGACGAGGAGGAATAGAGGAGCAGGAGGAGGAGGAGGAGGAGGAGGCGGAGGAGGATAGGGAGGATGACGACGAGGAAAAAGAGGAGAAGCAGGAGGAGCAGGAGGATAGGGAGGAGGAGGAGGAATAGAGTAAGCCGTGGAGCAGGACAGGCCCTGCACCCGTGGTGTCCCTCCGACCTCGGAGCTCCGACGCTCGGCCTCCGCGGGGGCCCTCGCCGAGCGCGACCCCCAGCCAAGGCCGTCGACGGGCCGGCTCGGGATGCGAAGCCGGCCCGCTGGGGCTAGTAGGGGCCTCCTAGATGGGGTCCGAACAGAGGAAGACGAAGACAACAAGAAGAAGAAGAAGGAAACAAATTGCTTGGCGAAGGACCCAACCAGATGCAGTTGTGAATACCGCGGTTATGAATATCACCTTCCCCCGCGCTCCCTATGGGGCCACGAACCATACGAGGGGCGTGCCGACATGCGTGGCGGGGCACACAACGCGAGCGAAGACGATAGGTCTGCGTGCGAGAGACTGAGAGCGAGTGAGACTGATTGTGGATGAATCTGCGCGCGCGTGACTCTACGTGCATAAATGTCGACACCCATGTCGGCACGCCTCTCACGAGGATCGCGCCCGTTTCCTCCCCGTTCTTCTTCTCCCTTTTTGCCCGTGCACGCCCACGTCCGCGGCTGCGGGCGCGGCGCCGCACGGAGTCCCCGCGACGCGCGCTGGTCGCCCCGAAGGGGTCCCGGCGACGCGCGCGGGTCATCCGCTGCGCGGAGCAGACAAAACGAGCAGACCGGCTCCCGCCTGGGACCGCGGCCCGAAAGCGGCCTCTATACGTAGAATACCACGAAAAAACAACGAACATCGAAAGTCACCGCCATGCGAACTCCGCCACTGGGCCACCATGCGAGTTCCGCCGCGGAGACCTTAGGTGGAGCTCCCTGTGGGGACACGAAGACCTGTAGTGGGTAGTGGATGCCGCATGCGGACGGTCACATTGGGGCCTTCGGTGGAGCCCCCTATGGGGACACGAAGCGCTGTACTGGGCGGTGGATGACGCACGCACGCGGTCCCACTGGGGCCTTCGGTGAAGCCCTCTATGGGACCACAAAACGCTGTACTGGGTGGTGGGTGACGCATGCGGGCGATCCCACTGGGGCATTCGGTGGAGCCCCCTTATGGGGTCACGAAACGCTGCGCGGGGTGGTGGATGACGCATGCGGGCGGTCCCACTGGGGCCTTCGGTGGAGCTTCCTATGGGGGCACGAAACGCTGTAGTGGGTGGTGGATGACGCATGCGGACGGCTCCACTGGGGCATTCGGTGGAGCTCCCTATGGGGCCACGAAACGCCGTACTGGGTGGTGGATGACGCATGCGGGCGGTCCCACTGGGGCCTTCGGTGGAGCTCCGTCTGGGGTCACGAAACGCTGTACTGGGTGGTGGGTGACGCATGCGGGCGATCCCACTGGGGCCTTCGGTGGAGCCCCCTATGGGGCCACGACGAACTGTACTGGGTCGTGGATGACGCATGCTGGCGGTCCCACTGGAGCCTTCGGTGAAGCCCCCTATGGGGCCACGAAACGCTGTGCTGGGTGGTGGATGACTCACGCGGGCGGTCCCACTGGGGCATTCGGTGGAGCCCCCTATGGAGCCACGAAACGCAGTGCTGGGTGGTGGATGACGCATGCGGGCGGTCTGGGTGGAGCCTTCGGTGGAGCTCTCTATGGGGCCTTGAAATGCACGAAATGAAGGAGGAGCAGGAGGAGGAGGAAGGAAGGAAAGGAACGCGGGGACCGTCTCTTCAAAACCAGGATCCAACACCACAGGATGGTTGGAAAAATAAGACACTATTCTCGTACGCGCCTCTCCGAAGGAGTAGAGCTCAGAGGCGATTCATGCGTACGCGGGGCGCCGCGTCCGCGATTTGCCTGGCCGCTTCGTTCGGGACATCCTCGAAATTCTGAAAATCGGTGGCACTCCTCACGCAGATCGTGACGTCAGGGTCCAAAAACACATGGGAATTTCAACATTCGAACATAAAACCTTCAAGAACACATTGTAAGTTCAAAGATTTTGACTCCGATTCTCAGAGAATGGCGGTTTCGCCTGAGACATCCTCCCAAAATCGAGCCCCGACGTACCTTCTGGTACCCCAGACCCCGCCTCGGAGCCTCCTAGGGGCCTCCTGTAACCTCCTGGTGCCTCCTAGGGTTTTCTGTGCGTACTGGTACCCCAGACCCCGCCTCGGAGCCTCCTGGGGGTCTCCTGGAACTTCCTGGGGCCTCCTGGGGCCTCCTGCGGCCTCCTGGAGGCTCTTAGGGCCTCCTGGAGCCTTCTGGGGTCTCCTGGGGCCTCCTGAGGCCGCCCGGGGCCTCCTGGGGCCTCCTGGGGCCTCAGAACTACATGCACACAAAGAGACACAAATCACACCCAACACATCACACGCTAGACAAACATAACACACACACACACACATACACACACACACAACACCTACAACGCACAGAAAACACGCACAACACGGAGCACACATCACACACACACACACACACACACACACAACACTGACAATCCCGGGGCCTCCTGGAGCCTCTTCTGGTATCCGAGTCGGGCCTCCTGAGGTTTCTTGGGGGGTCCTGGAACACTCATCGCAAGGTGTGGCAACCCCACCTGCGCTCGAGTGCGACCTCGATCTTAGATTATTCTGCGTTCACCTCCTGCCTCCTCCCCTTCTCTCATGCACGCCCTGGCGGCGCCGCCCCAGCTTCCCCTATTCCATCTCCGATCCTGCAGTCATGGTGTCTTCCTGCTTCAAACGCCCTTTCAGTTTTTTGTATGAGCCTGGGCACACACGTGCCACTTGTAAATATCAACCTTTGGCGCTCCGCGCGGATTTCTTGGACCTGCGCTGGACACCCCTCCCTTGCGCACGGATTGCGCCAGCGGCGGCGCCGGCTGTGTCCCACTTAGCTCTTGCGTATAGAGGGACATGCCCGCCTTAACTCTTTCGTGCAGTCGAGACCACCACCGCGCCTCCCAGCCCGGCCCGCCGCGCCCCCCCGCGGCCCCACCGCACAGGCCGCTGGGGCTAGCAGGGGCCTCCTAGATGGGGTCCGAGTAGATGGGGCCGAAAGATCGCGCCGCAGCGCCGATACATCGGCGGCGGCGGCGTGGAGAAAATCGGGCCCCGCATCGAGCCGCATCGCTGATGCATCGCCGACGCATCAGCGATGCGGCGCCATCCTCCGACCACATCTACTCCGACCCCATCTAAGAGGCCTAGAGCCAGGGGTCGGGCATGTCCTCCTACAGGCGGATTTTGGAAGGAACAGAGGAAAATAGTCAAAAAATACTCGAGCATAGTCAAAAATTGACGACAAAAAATCGTCCCCGGGCTGGCTATTGGCGATTTGCTATTTCCTCCCCCTGTAGGGAGACGTGCCCGGCTCGACCCCAGAGGCTTCGACCCATTTCCCGGGACCGGCTTGTCACCCTGAACCGCTGTTTGACGGTCCCGAGGCCCGGGAAAAGGTCCCCAGAGGCCGGAGCTGGCGAAAAACCGGCCACCATGCCTTTTCACTGCTCGAGGGGGTCCGGGCCCGAAGGATTGCAAAAAAAAGGATTGGAAAAAAAACCAAGGATTGTAAAAAAACGAAGGGTTTGTTTTGCAATCTTTTTTTTGCGATCCTGGGTTTTTTTTGCAATCCTTCGGTGTTTTTTTTTGCAATCCTTTTTGCAATCCTTCGGGCAGGGGCCCAGCCCTCTGGGGAGCTGCGGGGCGGAGCGGCTCGGCGCGGCGGGTCCGCGCCCACCCCGGGGGCCAGCTCGTCCTCCCGATAGCTCGTCGCTGGACGGCCCGGGGCCCCGGCAGCGGCCAGGGAGCTCTCGCGGCGCCTCCCCCCTCGCGACACCATCGGCTGCCGGGCTGGCGAACGCGGCCGAGGAGCGCAGCATCGTCGAGCGGAAGAAGTTCGAAGGAGAAGAAGAAGGAGGAGAAGTAGAAGAAGAAGAAGAAGAAGAACACAAAAAAAACGCCATAAGCATAAACTGGTGGCGCTCCGCGCGGATTTCTTGGACCTGCGCTGGACACCCCTCCCTTGCGCGCGGATTGCGCCAGGGGCGGCGCCTGACATGTCCCACTTAACTCTTGCGTGTAGAGGGACATGCCCGACTTACTTCTTACATGTAGTCGAGACCACCGCCTCGCCTCCGAGCCCAGCCCGCCGCGCCCCCCCGCGGCCCCGCCGCACAGGTCGCGCACCGCCCGCTCGAACTGATCCTCGCTGCTGCTCGCCGCGCCCTCCGCGCGGGGCAGGCCCATGGCCTGGGCGGCGCGCGGCGGCCATGGCGACGAACGACGACGAACAACGACGACGACGACGACGACGACGACGACGACGACGACGACGACGGCGGCGACGACGGCGACGGCGACGGCGACAGCGACGGCGACGACGACGACGACGACGACCGACGACGACGACGACGACGACGACGACGACGACCGACGACCAACCGACCGACCGACCGACCCACCGTCGACGACGACCGACTGCGGCGACGACGACGACGACCGACGACGACGACCGACGACGACGGCGGCGACGTCCAGCGACGACCGACCGACCGAACGACCGACCGACGACCGACGGTGACGACGGCGGCGGCCCGGGGCCGCGGCTCCTCTCGGGCTGCACCGCTGGCCGTGGGATCGCCGCCGGAGCCCAGCGCGGGCCGGGGCGCCCGACGGCTGCGCGCCTCGGCCGGCGCGGGCGGCGGCGGCCAGGCTGAGACGAGGCCCCGTGTCGGCGGCGAGCGCCTCGAGCACAGGAGGAGGAGGAGGAGAGGAGAAGGAGGAGGGGGAGGAGATGGGAGGAGGGGCAGGAGGTGGGAGGAGGGGCAGGAGGAGGAGGAGGAGGAGGAGGAGGAGGAGGAGGAGGAGGAAGAGGAGGAGGAGGAGGAGGGGCAGGAGGAGGAGGGGCAGGAGGAGGAGGTGGGACTTGCCCAGGGGGGAGGCGCATCGACCCCCACAATCGCCCGCTCGCCCTCAATCCGAGCCCCGGGCTCACTGGCGCCGTGGGCATCGTCGTGGCGCTCAGGGTGTGCAGCGGTCGCGAGGCGCACGGTCGCCCAAGGGCGCCCAGGGGGGGGGGGACAGGAATTCTGGCGGGGGGGAGGGGGAGGGAGATCGGCGGCGAGCGAGGGGGGGGAGGTGAGAAGGAGAAGGCCTTCTCGGAAGGCGACGGGGCCTCTTGGAAGCACTTGCGCATTCTGAGAAGACTTGGTTGTCTTCGGAGAAGGCTCAGAAAACTTCTCAGCAGGCTGGGGGGCTTCCGAGCCTTCCTAGAAGGCCTTTTCCTTGTCACTTCCCGCCCCCCCGCTCGCCGCCGCGTCGTATCGGCGGCGAGCCTGCTTCCTTCAGGCTTCGAGGGGTGTATCCTTATGTCCCCAACTGGGGTGCTGAGATCGTTGGGCTCGGGATGGAGATGGGGACAGGGGCCGGTGACATGATACTGATCGGCAGGAGCGGGGGGGGGTAGTGAGAAGGGGCGGACCTTCTCAAGGCTCGGAGGTCCCCGGGCCTTCTGAGAAGGCTTCCCAAGCCTTCCCCCGAGGCACACGGAGGCCTCTCAGAAGGCCCGGGGGGGGTCCGAGAAGCCCCGCCGACCTCCGAGGAGGCCTTCTCCTCTGCGCGCCCCTCCCTCGCTCGCCGCGGGCACCAGCGGGACGACCGAGGACAGCCCAGCGCCCCGTGCCTCTGCCAGGGGGGGGGGTAAGGTTGATAAAACCGTGTGTGTACCACCTCGGTTTTTGGTCTATTACTTCTGATGTGTTTGCTTTCCTGTTGATTATGCTTTTCGTCATCTCTAAAGGGATTGCTCAAAGTAGTGGAATGCAGAACGATTCCTGTTGTAGCACATTTAAAATTGAGTTCTTTTGTGGGGAATTACAAGGGAATTCTGTTCATGGTGAATTACACATTGTTTCCTTTTGTGGCGGATTACAAAAGGATTCCTTTTGTGGAGGATTACGAAAGGATCCCTTTTGTGGAGGATTACAAAGAAATTCCCTTTGGTGGAGGAATACAAACGAACCCCCCTTTTGTGGAGGATTACAAATTGATTTCCTTTGAGTGCTTTCCTGGAAGTGAACCAGGGGACAAAAGAAACAAACAAAAAAACATAAAATCATTGATATTTCAGAAAATTGTAGGTTTTCAATGATTTTCCAATGTTTTGAAGCAAAAAACATATGAAAAAAACAGCGCATTTTCACAATCCGAATGCACAAATGCTGTGTTTTCATATGGTTTCGGCCTCAAAACCTTGGAAATGCTGTGTTTTTATATGTTTTTGCTTCAAAACATTGAAAATTCTGGAAAACTTGCAATTTTTTAAATATTCTAAGATTTTCTGTTTTTTTTGTTTTTTCTTTTGTCCCCTGGTTCACTTCCAGGAGAGCCCTCAAAGGAAATCAGTTTGTAATCCTCCACACAAGAAATCCCTTTGTATTCCTCCACCAAGGGGAATCCCTTTGTAATCCTCCACAAAAGAGATCCTTTTGTAATTCACCACAGAAGGATTCCCTTTTGTAATTCGCCACAAAAAGGAATCATCATGTGATCCTCCACAAAAGAAGTCCTTTTGTAATTCTCCACAAAAGGAATCCTTTTGTAATCTGCCACAAAATAAAACAATGTGTAGTTCACCACAAAAGGATTCCCTTTTGTAATTCAACAACAAAAGAAATCAATTTGTAATCCGCTAATGATTGTTTCGGGCCTCCGGAGGCCGGAGAATCGAGATATTAAGGCTTATTAATCTCTCTGGAACGCGCTTCGGCGCTCACCCACTGGAAGTAAGAGGGGCGAGGAGGAAGAGACGGAGGTGGAGGCGGAGGAGGAGGAGGAGGAAGAAGGGTAAAGAGAGGATAA